CTCCTCCTCCTCCTCCCCCTCCTCCTCCTCCTCCTCCTCCTCCTCCTCTTGGTATGGCCCAAAGGGTGAACAAAAATACTCTCGTGGTGCCTGGGGCGCGCTCCCAGGCCGGCGCACCCAGGGCGAGAGCTCTGTGCGGACTCCCCGACTGCTTGTGCCGACGCCGCCCTTTCCTTCCTCGGACGAGGCTAAATTCGGACGAGGATGATTCGGACGAGGATGATCCGGACGAGGGTACATTCGGAAGAGGATAAACCTGGATGAGGATACACTTGGACGAGGTTAAATCGAGGATCCATTCGGACGACGGTGAATTCGGACAAGGATACATCGAGACTCTCTGAGATCCCGCGGATCTAGTATCCTCGTCCTGGTCGCGTCCGATCCTTCGTCGGCATCTCCGTATTCGACCTTTCCTCCCGGAATCGGGCCGCATCGGCACGGAGTCAGAATCGGATCGGGTCGACTGCGCCGGTGTGCACGACGACGCCATGCGAATACCCGGCCGCATCATATCACCTGGAATACCAGAATCGAATCGGATCGACCCAGCTGGAATCGATGTCGAATCGGATGGATCGGATCGAAATTGGCCCTGCATCGGGAGCAAAAAGCAATGCAAACGTTGCCACAAACTTTCGGAGGACCGCGCGGATTTCTTGGATCCGCGCAGGAGCCTCATCCCTGGCCGGCTCCGCGCGCCAGGGGCGGCGCCGGAAGCGCTGCCAGGGCGGGCCTTTCGCCAGATGGGGGGGTCCAGCGCCGCCAGGGGGGGGGGAGGGCTCCATCGCCAAACAAAAACTATGTGGCCGTAAACGTCCGCGCGGAGCCCCCACACTTTACGTCCCCCGCCCGTCAGGTTACGCTGTTAGATGTACACGCCGGTCGGAAGAAGTGGGTAGAAATCTACTGTAGGTCGGACCCGTCCTGCGGAAGAGACATGGAAAACAGTCACACACAAAAACGTCGAACGACGAATCGAAACATCGTCCCCAGGCACTCCTGCGGTGGAGGGACATGCCCGACTGAACTCTGCGTTCAACGACCGGCGTGCAAAGAGCAGAGCTTCCGACCCGCCTCGCGCCGCCTGCATACCGCGACCGCCAGGCCCCCTCGGGGGCGGCAAAGAGGGGGGCGTCCAAGAAAGGGGGGGCTGCAACTCATGACCCGCGGCATGTGCGCGGCCCAGCGGGGGGGCCAGGGACGTAATGAAATGAGAAGAGGCGCCATGAAATCTGGGGAAACATCATGGCCCCCGCCATGATATCCACCCCCCTGGTCATCACCCGTCTTTTCCGCCCCCGACCCCAGGCCTACCAATGCTCCCCCGGGTGTCCCGCCTCGCGCCGTCTTCGACGACTGACCGCTGCATGCCGCGGCCGCCCGGACCCACGGGGCCCGCTGCTCCCTGGGTGCCCCCCGCCCCGCGTCGTCCTTGGGGCGGGCACCGCTCGGAGCGAAGCAAGACTGAAGGGGCCCCAGGACACACAAATTCGCCGGCCCAACGGGCCAGGGCGTGCTAAGATCTCCGGTACCTGGTTAACAGTATTTCTAGTTCGCGCGCGGGGCGGCCCCTGGGGGTCCCCGGACGAAAAGTACCCCGGCAAGGTCCTGGCAAGTCCCCGGCAAGTCCCCGGCAAGTCCCCGGCAAGGTCCCGGCAAGGTCGGGTCAGAGATGCCGGAGTTCTGTTTCGGAGTCCAAGAGGGCTCCAAATCGGTCCAAGAGGGCCCCGAGAAGCTTTCTAGACGGTCCAAGAGAGGCCCGAGACGGCCAAAGATCGCCCGAAGACGCCCCAGATGGCCCCAAGACAGCCCAAGAGGCCTCCAAGACGCTCCAAGGGCCTTCCAGGAGGCCTCCGAAGAGGGCCCCAAGTTGCCAAAATCGTTGATTTTCATTGGTTTTTTCTATGTTTTTTTTTGCGTTCTGGCCTTTTCGCTTCCGGACGCTCCAAGAGGGCCCAAGAGGCCTTCAAGACTGCTCCAAGACGGCCCACGAGGCTCCCAAGACGGCCCCGGAGCGGCCCAAGAGCGCCCCCCAGACGGCCCAAGTGCCGCCCAAGGCGGACCAAGAGGCCCCAAGACGGGCCCTAGAGGGGCTCAAGAAGGGAACCGAGAACTGAAAAATCGAGCCCTCCGCCCCAGAAGGCGCCCAGGACCCCGAAAGAGGCCCCAAGAGACTCTCCAAGACACCCCCAAGACGCCCCAATAAGCTCCCGTGAGGCCCCAAGAGGACCAACAACGTCAGGCCCCAGGCCCCAAGAGGACCAACAAATACCGCCAAGAGCCCGCCGAAAGCCCCCCAAGAGACCGTCACGAGAGCTCAGGAGGCCCCCTGGAGGCCTCCCGAGTTCTCCAAGAGGCCTAAAAAGAGGCGCCAAGAGGCCCCAAACGGCCCCAACGAGGCTCCAAGAGGCCACGAACGCGCAAGCAAACGCCTGCGATGGCACAATACGGGCCGGCGGAATGAGCGAAGCGATTAAATAAATACACACAAAGAAAAATATTCCCCATATTTTCCGATATTTTCTGGGTTTCTGTCTTCCCCCCCACTTCCCATATTTTCCCACATTTTCTGGGAATCGCCGATTAATTGCGTCTGTGTGTTATTTCCCCTCCTGAAAGATGTATGCCTTTGCAGCTATGTGCCGTTCGACCTTCCCCTCGCTGTCGTACAGGTAGATGCCCTTCGCGTCCACGATCGTCGGCAGGTCCTTCGCGGGCCCGGAGGGCCCCCACGACATCATCACGTGGTCCTCCACGGCGCTGTGCAGGTCGGATGCGCTCCAATCCCCCTTCCAGTGCGCGAGCGACGCGCCCTCTGGCTCCTGCGATGGGGGCACGGGAACGGGCAAACAGAGACGTGCGTACGGGGCCAGTCAACCAGCATCATGAGGATGCAAGGTAAGGATGCAAGGGCCTTGGAGGCCCATGTGAACGCATTTCGAGCGATGTTGACCAGCGAAAGTCGCTAAGACTGGGCCGAAGGGGCAAGGATGCAAGGGCAACCTTGAACACGTCGCTCGTCCTTACTATGATTATGTTGCTCCCATCGCACTTAGGAAGCACATCCAAGAAATCATTTCGAGCACCCAGAAAACTATCGAGCCAGCGTCGACCGAGTGCCGCCTCCCAGGGCCCGACACGCGAAAACCCCCTCAAGTTTCGGTACTTCCTTGGTGCTCGAAGCTCTTTTGGTGATCGAGGCTTGAGCAGGTTGGAACATCCGAATACTGCGCGGGCTGGCTGCAGCAAAACTTCGCGCGCCGCGGCCCGCGACGCGCGATCGCCGCGGCGCCACGGCGCATCCGCATCACTCGGTGGCAGTCGCCCACCCGCGGTTCGGCTAAAGGAGAGAGGAGAAGGAAGAGAAGGAGGAGGAGGAGGAGGTTTAGGAGGAGCAGGAGGAGGAGGGAGGGGAGGGAGGAGGTGGGAAAAAGGAGGGAGGAGGGAGGATGGAGGGGAGAAGAAGGAGGAGGAGGAGGGGGAGGAGCGATTTTTTTGGCGGCCGCACTCTGGCTGCAAGAGGCCGCGTGCCGCGCGCGCGGCGATTCGTCCTATCCATTACAGCGCCACCGCGGGCGGCCTCTCTTAGGTGGACCTGGAGATTTCTGGGAAAGGACCCCTGAGGACACACAAAGAATAATACACTCCCTCCACACCTGCTCCTCCTCCCCATCTCCCTACCTCCTCCTCACTCCCTCCTCCTCCATACGTCCTCCTCCTCCGTCCTCCTCCTCCTCCTCCTCCTCCTCCTCCTCCCTGGAACAGGATTCCCCCATATGTTCCCATATGTTCTGGGTTTTTGTCTTCCCCCCCACATCCCATAGTTTCCCATATTTTCTGCGGAATCGACGATTCATTCTGTCTGTGTGTGTTTTTTCCCTCCTGATGTATCGGCTACACGCACCCCTCCTGATGTATCGGCTACACGCAGAACTGACCCTAGGCAAGGGTGACCTTGAGTGCGCGGCCAAGGGGGAACCTTCTGGGAACACCGCCAGGCGCGCAAGCCGCTGCTATCGCCTCCGGCGATCGGGGGGGCGCCCGCACAAAATGTCACTAGGGCGAAAGATCACATGCAGCCGACTGTCGGCAAGCCGGGGCGCTTCGCCACTGCATGAGCGCGCACGATTGAGCGCGCTCCAGCGCAGCCCAGCGGAGGCTGACCGCGTGGACCCAGGACAGAAAAACATTCTTCAAGAAACGTGAGACCCTCCGCTGGCCAAGACACACAGAACAGCCAAACATACCCCCTCAAGGGGTGCACAAAAACGTCCGTTCGGGTACCCTCCCCGAACGGACCTCGATCTTATGATACCTCGACCCGACTGTACACGCATCTCGCATCTGAGAAAGGGTAGGGCTGGGCCTGGCTCGGGGGGGAGCAATGAGCTGCAATCGGCGATGCATCGCCGACACATCGGCGACAGGCCGCCGGTGCCGAAATCACATCCACATCCACATCCATACCAATGCCCACCGCCTGGGAAGCGATATCCTGGTGAACCCTCAGGGGAGGGACGGTGGGCATGGACAGATTTGGGGGTCTCACGGTCTCATACTGTAAGCCCCCAAAGCATGCGCTCCCAGTGCCTCCCAGGATCCAGGAAGTTCGGCTTCCCAGACGCTGGATGTGCACACTAGGAGGCCACATGCCAGCCCTACCCAGCCACCCCGAGATCTCCGAGGGGGGAGGTGGGGGTCACTGCGTTCTGGACCTCCCCGGCGACAAGATCCGCACCTCTCCCCTCAGAGATCGTGGGGCGGTGGGGTAGGGTTAGGTGCGCAGGTGGCCTCCTACCCTCCTGCACAGGTGCCGGCCGGGACTGCCTTCGGGAGCGGCAAAGAGGGGGGCGTCCAAGAGGGGGGGGTGACCGGCGGCATGTGCGCGGCCCAGCGCGGGGGACCAGGGACGTAATGAAATGAGAAGAGGCGCCAGGAAACCTGAGGAAATATCATGGCCCCCGCCATGATATCCACCCCCCCCCCCTAGCCATCACCCCCCTCTTTGCCGCCCCCGATGCCTGGCTCCCGGGCCGGGGGAAAGCAGTGGCCCTGGAGTCGGCGCTGCACCGCCGGCAGGGCCGGCGGCAAGACGCCGCCGAGCACTGGCAGCAGCCCGCACGCCCCCGCTGGCCGTCGCTCGGGCGTCCATTCCCTGTGCTTTTTGTTCGGTATCGTGCGTGGCTTTCTCGCCAAATGATCAAAAGGATGCTCCTCGATGGTCCTCACCGAGAAACAAATGCACAAACGATGATCCAGGATGCTCCTCGATGCTCCTCGATGGTCCAGGCCTGGGCGGGGTGCGGCCCCCCGGCCCCGGGGTCGGTGCTCATCCCCTCGGAGCCGGGCCCCCGCCCGACGTGGCCCCTCTCGGTGGCAACTCGTCGGGGTGGCCTCCCCATGCCATCTCTACAGGGGTTCTTTTTTTGGTCGCGGCCGCGGGCGAGAGCGCACACGGCGAGTCGTAAGTCCGGGGCGCGGGCCTACGAATTGACAACAGGAGCAAACTAGAGCCGCACACCGAAACCGCCTAAGCGAAAAATCTCGAGGGGAACACAGAGTGGCACAAACAGAAAAACTCGGAGGTCCGCGCGGATTTCTCGGATCGGTGCTGGGGCCCCCCGGCGGCGCCTCCGGCGCCGCCCCTGGCGCGCTCCACGCGGCAGGGAGGGGGGTCCAGCGCCGATCCGAGAAATCCGCGCGGACCTCCGAGTTTTTATGTTCATGCCACTTTTTGTGCTCCTCATCTTGTCGGCTATTGCGAATCGACGCCCGTCGACGCTGCGTCGACGCTAATCGACGCTGCGTCGACGCTCGCCGGCGCTAAATCGTCGCTACCTCACCGACTCCCAGACGCCAATCGGCGCCAGTCAACAGAATGACGAGGGTACACAAGGCTCCCATGATTTGCTACCGAATGCCCCTGACTCGGGCCTCGGTTTTCGGGCCATAGCTCGGACCTCAGGCTGCCGTTTTGGACCACGTCGCCGGGCACCCCGAGAACGCTCTCGGCGAGGCGCAGCTGCTGGGACGCACCCCTGGGCTGGAAAACCGCTGAGGGCCAAGGGTGACGTCTGTAAACCTCGAACCTCAAACCCGAAAGGCAATCCCGCCTTCCTGGGCTAGTCCCCGCCCTGACGTTGCCCCTGATCCTGGACCTCGCCCAGCTTCGCGAGGGGGGGGTGCTCGTCGGGGCGGTACTTGGCGTTCACGTTCGGGAAACCCTGGTAGAGGCCGCCCAGATGAGGTCCGAAGAAATGGGGTCCGAGGATCGCACGGCACACTTAGCCAATGCATCGGCGATGCATCGCCGATGCATCGGCAACATCAACGATGCATCGGCGCCATCTGCATGGAGAAAGCCGGGCTCCACATCGACCCGCATCGCCAATACCTCGTCGATGCGTAGCGATCCTTCGACCCCATCTGCTTGGATCCCTTTTGGGAGGCCTGGACCTGGGCGCCGTCGGTGCGGCTGAGGCCAGGGAACCTGGCGCTCGCCCTGGACGCAGCGGCCTCGGGCCCCTTGCGGATCCCGCTGCCCTGGGCGAAGCCCCTGGTGGACGTCCTGACCACAAGAGAAGGAGGACAAGGAGGAGAAGCACAAGTGCAAACCCAAGACTCATCAATGATGTTGAAGTCAGCCCTCCCTCCAGGCTCCCTCTTCGCAGGCCCCTACAACGATTCATTTCCACTTAGAGAAGTGCCCCGTTGGGAGACATCCGTTCGAGGATCCTGAAGCGTGCCCAAACACAATTCTCCGGACTTCAGCGCCACGAAGCATCAACATGACTGTTGCGTGTTGACGACCCTGAGTCGTGACACAGAACACTATCATGAGGCGATTGATGGGAACGAGAATGAAACCCAACTGGCGACAAAAAAGAAACGGGTCTTACGCAAGATCGCACAGCGACCTTACGCAGTGGCTCATGCGGGCCGCCAGCGCGGAACGCTGCATTGGAAACGAGGGCGCTTACGCGCGACCTTGCGCTGGAAGCTTAACCCAATGCCCCTGATAATCACAAGGGGCGAGTTCGGGGTTTGGGGGGGAGGATCTATTCTCCCGGCAACTCGCATGCGCGATGATATGGCAGTATGGTATAGCGATGTCTTGCTCGCTCTGGCGGGGCCTCCTTGAGGGGTCGGAGGACCACGAAACCTGAATAATATTATTGTATAGCCATGCCCTACTCGATCTGGCGGGGCCCCTTGGAGGGGTCGGAGGAGCACGACACCGGATAATCTCATAGCCATGCCACACGTTCGTGAGTTAGAAAAGTTGCAGTGGTGATAATCCCGTAGCATTGTCACACGTTCGTGATAGTGTGACTACTCGATATAAGAGGATGGCAACTTCGATTCGTATATCCCCTGGCGATAATGAAGTTCGGCCTCGCCGCCCCTTTCCCCTGACCAACTCTGTCTTGGTCCGGGATGATCTACTCTCAGGAGTAAGGGGGGGTATGCTTTATTGTCCAGGGTGCTCAGTTACGC